ATATGCGGCTCTATGCGCTCGTTTGCATTTCGAGCACAAATTTGTGTATCAAAGGATGCTCCAGGTAGTAGTAGTAGTAGTAGTAGTAGTAGTAGTAGTAGGAGTAGTAGTTAGTAGTAGGAAATAGTAGGTAGTAGTAGGTAGTAGTGGGTAGTAGTAGGTCGTGGTAGGTAGTAGTAGGTAGTAGCTAGTACAGTAGTAGATAGAAGTGGTGGTCGTAGTAGTCGTGGCAGTAACAGGAGTAGCAGCAGTAGCACTGCACCACACCTCTCTGCTTTGCCCGGGGCTTGGGGCCATCTGCTTCTCCATACATTGTCGAAACCTCGGGCCGCTGTAAAAAACTGACACGGACTAATTGAAAAGTGGGGTGATCTGTCAATCAGAGTTCTTCCTGCTGTATGTAGCTAAACAGCATCACCAACTCTTGAATGCCCTAGGAACAGTCAAAGACAATCTTTCACTTTGCATCCATGTCATTCGCCGTCTGCATGAAGCTTCCGGGATCAGCTTGAAGGTTCAAGTATTTACGGCGAGTCGACTTACCAACCCCCTGTGTACTCTTTGCGTGTGCTCCGCTGCTATTGCTGCTTGCCTGGCCTTTCTTGCATTGCTGCTGACCTAAGACTCCGGCCTTGAAGCACCCGCCCCAAATCAAGCCGAAAGGGAACCCAACTATGCCTTGAGCGAGTTGATCTTGGTGCTGATCGCATATGATCGCATTGTAAGCAGGATTGCTCGAGCGTGGACCTCCCCGCCCCCTGTGTGCAGAACTTGTAGGTGATGGTCTCGCAGTCCACCATGTCTTGTGTGTTTCCCTCAGTATCACAGGCTGTAATCCATGCATTTTGGGCTCCACCCTCTGTAGCACACACAGTGGTTTGCGGCGCATGGTACATAAGCTAAGCTGTATCTCTGCACAATTCAGTCACGGAAACATCCCAAACCGAACGTAGAACCAGCTCGGGACATCGGCCAAACCACAGCTTGAGCATCAAGTTTCTCTTGCCGCCATGTACAATAAGCACTGCTAACCTTTAGATGCCCAGCCAGAGGACTGTGCGTATCCTGGTCTCTCAGGTGGCGACAAAGTCTTTGCAACACTTCCTTAGCGAAGTGGGAACGACAAACAGCACCCGACTAGACCGCTCTTAATTATAGCCCAAACCAGGGAGTGAGAGCCCCAAGTACGAGTACCTTTGACATGCAAGTTAGCGGCCTTAGCTTCGAGCATCTGCAAGCAACAACATCAGATTGGCGCTTGGGTTTGGGGTTTAGGCCAAGGATGCATCAGGATTCCATGTCCGGAATCCGGAGAGCAGATCATGTGGGTGCTTGGGAAAAGGAAGGGGCTCGAAAGACATGCGCATGGTCGGCTCAACCTGATGTCTAAAGGCCAACTGGAACAAGTGGAACGGGCTTCAGAAGACTATGATATTGCACCAAGCTAGGTGAGGCTCGATGAGCCGACATTGTGCAGGTTGGATGTAGCTTAGACGTTTCTTGGAGCCGGCTGAATGATGGGAAAGTGAAGCATGTGTTGCGGCTCCTTTTGGCTATAGCGCCAAACGATGCCAGGCCACTCCTTTGGTTACCATACACCACTACCATATCCCGACTCATCTGTGAAAAGCCTGATTTGATTTGATTTTTTTGGCATGCCTAAAAAAATCAAATCAAATCAGGTCCTGTAATCTGGGCCATCGCAGCCAGAGCACATATAGGCATCGAAATCCTCTTGGCAAGGCATAGGGCTCCTGCCGCAGGAATGGGGCTTCTAAAAACCTTCCTTGGCACTTTAGCCCAAGTAAAGGGCTCACAGGGGTATCCGCAGGCCTGCGACTTCCAATTTCCGGAGATATAGACTTTCAATGCGACGCAGGGACTTGAAGGCCGCATTCGTTTAAGGGAGCTTTGACCAACGAAAGCTGCACATCCGACCTTTCTGGCCTTTCTGGGCCCCTGGAAAGTCTGGAACTAGGCGGCGAAGGTGCAAAATCGAAAATCAGCTTTCCCTGACATTCTAGTCGATCCAGTTGCGCAGCCAGTTTGGGGCCCTCTAAGGAATGCAACTGCTCGGGTATTCTGTGAGGTGCTTCTCGGTCAGCGTACCAGAGTCACTCGGCCGGGAGATCACCAAAGAAATTAAGAGGTCTGTAGTCTGGTTGCGCTGCAAGCAAGACCATGGCATCAGTTGCAGCGCCACACGAAATCCGAAAGCTTGCCTTAGACGGTGAAGTCAAGAGCCCCGCCCTGCATCATGCTATTCCGGGACCTGCTTTGCACTGGAGCGGGTGATGCTGCACCCATAACCGTCGGAGCCTACTTCTCCGATGCTTGCCCGATTCTTGCGCTCGGAAATGCGTCGAGAAGATTGCAGGCTTCGAGGGTGAGTTCGGGGAGGTGATGCTTCCTGCCCCTGATCGCGAGGGAGCTTTTTGGTCACTGCTAGGTCAAGGCTAGTGATGGTGGATACTGACGGCTGCAGCCGGCTTCAAGTGAGTCTACAACAGGTCTGGGGTTGGAGCGATGCCGCCATGCATACCTTTGCACAATGGTGGTATGCCATGTGCGTCCTAAGTCAAGCTGAGCCAAGAGAGACAGCAGGCTGCTCACGATTGAAGCCTTGTAGGCAAAGAGGCGGAACCCCCCCTGACCTTCCGTGCAAGGATGTCCCATGCAGCATGCTTGACATGGCATGACTCAGAGCCCCTTTCTTTGAGCCTTCCACCGGGCTTGCAGCTTCCCAGTTCTGGGAGGAGCGGTGGAAAATTCCTTTGGTGAGAGGCTTCATGACCACGGTGTTAGGGCCGTTAGGGCTTAGGGAGAGGAGGACGGACACTGAGCTCTTCGTCGTGCATGCAGCAGCTCTCAGAGACGCTGCGCTGCCGGCAACCTGCTTCCTTAGGGGTGCCTTATTTTGGGGTCCTTATAATAAGGCGCAGCACCTGGTGGTAAAGTCAGCCGGAGGCCACCGCCACACCTCGCCATACAGGAAGGCGAGATCTCACGCACTCAGGCTACGCAAGCTCTTCAGTAGGCTCAGTAGGCTGGGTAAGCCCATTCTCGAGGTTCAATGGAGTTTGTAGCTTCACCTTTGAGGCCTGTGCGCAAACTGGATCCGAGCTAGACTGGACCAGCCAGACTTATGTCAGCATCTGCACCAGTTGAGCTCCATGAAATCCTAACAGCCGCTGGACAACATGCAAGAAACCCTAGACCCTAAGACCCTAGACTCCAGAACCTAAAACCTACACCCTAAGACCCCAAAAGCCTAAACCCAATACGACCCAAACCGTACACCCTAAGACCCTAAAACCCTAAACCCAATAAGACCTAAACCCCCCAAAAGCCCTAAACCCTAAACCCCTAAACCCTAAAACCCTAAAACCCTAAACCCTCAAACCCTAACCCCCAAACCCTAAACCACGAAACCCTAAACCCTAAAACCCTAAACCCGAAACCCCCAAAAAAACCCT